AACATGCGTTAGACGATATGAAGCACACCTAGGCCTGATTGATCGCAAATGCTGCCCTGTGCCTGCAGCATAGAGGCCATAATTCGTAGCACAGTAATAATATAAGTAGTAATATAAACCAGTAAAAATATTACATCGTGTAACCAAAGACCTGCCTGCTCAACAGTGCCAAACGAATAAGAAGAAAAAATTATATCTGTATCTTTAAGCTATATAATTGCCAGGACCTCGCTTTTCCCTCTACAGGGGGGGAGAGGAATAAGATTGGTTCCGAGTTTTTCTGCCTGATTGTAAATAGTGTATATAGGTATACTTTTATCTATGATGTTTATTGTACCTTTATTTTTATTTTTACTTACTTATGTACATATATATTTTTTTTCCTATTCACTCTCCTTGTTATGTCTCATTTTATTCTCATTTAAATGTATTCTTTTGTTATTTTGTTATTGAGCTTTATTATAAATGTTCTTAACTGAGACATATATTTCTCAATAAAAAAGTAAAAAAAAAAAAAAAATGCTAGGAAGCTAATATAAGTCAATATAAAATCCTAGAATATTTAAAAAAACTAATTTCAATAGTGGGTGATAAATATTCAGAACGCAGTCATCATAATGTTTTTATTGGTACCGACGTTTCAACCCAAACATTTGGGTCATCATCAGAGCGTATTTCGAGCAGGGCATTGAAGTAACCAAGGTAATTTAATCCAAGGTAGTTGAAAGTATTCAAAGGAGTACTTCAATAACTTCATTGTTCCAAACACGCCCTGATGACCCTCATGTTTGGGTTGGAACGTCGGCACCAATAAAAACTTTATAATGAGTACTGTTGCCCGAATGCGAAACCGAGACGAGTCTGCAAAATCAGTCTTGGTCATGGTCTTGGTCTTGCGCAAGAGTCTCGCAACAATCTTGCAGTTATTTATTAGCTTATTGCTATAGAGATATTACTGTAATTCTTTGGATAGAATAAGCCTAACTAAGACCGAATGAATAATTAGATAGTTAAATACAAAAGTATATTGATTATATCAATTATTAATATATAGTAACTACAATGGTCGAGTATTAATAGCTAGTTTGCTTAATTTTTATTTAAAAAATCGATTTTTTTTACCAGTCCGTATCTTGCAACAGTTAGCCGGCCTTGGTCTTGGTCTTGCAAAGTGCAAGACCGATTTTGGGCAGCACTAATAATGACTGCGTCCTGATTATTTATCATCCATGATGCTGAACAGTCTATAAACTTTCTTTAATAATTTCAATCATTATCTTTTATTCACAATCCACTTGAAGACTATCATTGTGGGGGAATCTCTGTCTCTATCTTCAGAACCACTGTTTTCTAAAAAAATTAGCAATTACGTTCACTTGAACTATAATTTCTAATATCTACTATTGTAATTTCTTTACATTATAATTAAGATAGGTTAACCTTAACAGTCAGTCTTTCCGTCATTGAAACATTGAGTCATTGGTACATTAAAATACATATCTGGGCTGTTTTCATACTTGTTTTCTTAATTAACCGACTAATCTAGTAATTGAACTTTGTTACCTTGTTATATTGTAATGACTAATTACATGACAAGCCAAAAGTATTAGATAATGAAAAACATATTAAAATTGATCGACAAATCAAAATATAGTGATAAGAATACTTACTTCAGAAATGATATAAAAATCATAATTAAATATTATCCAAGTATTATAGATTGTATAAATATAAAATAATTATAAATTAAATTTGGATATAATAAAGAAATATTAATAAAACAAAATCATAATTTCATAGAAAATAAATCTAATAAAAAATGGAACAAATAATTCATATAGGAAACAAATAATATTAAATATGAGGATAATAAAAGCTATCGAGATAACAAGGGATCAGATTAGTTTATTTTAAAATTAGGCGGGATGGCCGACAACGTTAGGGTGTAGATCCCACAGTGCCCGATTTTGAACCGATCGTTAGGATTTCGATACCAGGTGGGATGGTTAACTTTAATCTCTCTGCGGCCTCGGTAAATGAATCATGACATTCCCATTCTGAAATTATGCGGCGAGAACATTAAGTTAGCCGCGAAAGGTTGAAAAAAAAAGAGCATGTTGTCCACTTGTCGGGCTAATCCTCCCCACCATTACCGGTACTAGTCCATTTACGAAGACAATATGTCAAGATACGGGTTCGTTAATACAGTAATAACTAGAATTCCATGATTTAATGATAATAAAATGTTTTGATTAGCTTTGCATAAACACTAACAAGTCAAATATATCTTAATTGTTATGTGAAGAAATTACAGATACTATTATATATTATAAATTATGCCGATGGCATAGTCCTCATCGTTGACTCTCCAATAACCTCCAGCAAGCCCTAGTAGAGTAGGAAGCAGATCTGGGACGGAATAGCATAAATATTAATGCCGGAAAAAGCAAAATAATACAGATATGCCGAGAGCCCGAACAAATACAAATAACGTGCCATAACAAGGCGCTTGAATTCGTGAATGAGTTATCTTCCCTTGAAACTGGGATCAGCGAAAACGGAAAAGTACAATCAGAAATATCCCACAGGATAAGAAAAGCTAGTAGTATACTCTATTCCATTAGAACATAATCGTAGGAAAGTAGAGATTAATAAAGACGTCAAGCTCCATATTTTCAGGTCCGTATATATGCCTGTTCTGCTATATCGAGCAGAGAGTTGTCCTCCTGGGCAGCAAATTGAGCCAAATAACTGCAGCTGATACGAAATACTTGAGCAGAACTGCTTCCGAAACACGCAGGGATAGGTTCAAAAACGAAATTATAGGGGAAGAACTAAATATTCCTGCATTGAAAGAGACGCTGGAGAACAGACAGAGAAGTACGGACATGTGTATAGGATGAGCCCTGATTGCGACCCATGTAAATATATAGAGGCGAGAGTAGTAGAAATTAGATATAGAGGAAGAGCAATATTATATAGCTATAAGCAGCAGAGCAAGCTATAATAGTTATATTTCCAAGTCCAAGGACAAGCGAGAGGAATGACATTGCAAGAGATGACGACAATTGTTAGAGACTAGATGGAGATCCTGGGTTGGATTTAGTTAGATGAGAACAAGATATTAGAAATTATAGTTAAGCGATTTTAATTGTCTAATTTAAAAAAAAAAAAAAAAAAAAAACAGTGATCTGGAGAAGAGAACGGTTGAACTGAAACTTTAGACATCAGGTGAATTGTTAATATAAATAATGAACTTAATTATAGAAATAATTTAAAATTACCTTGGATCTTATACACAAACTTGTATATAATATTTTATACAATTAGTAGCATTTTTAAACAGTTTCTTCAAGTCATTAGGATTTTTTTTCATTGTTTTCAGTTATAGGGAGAGATTTTAAAACGAAATACTTATATCATTATAAAAAAAAATCTAGTTATGTTTAGAATAAAATATGAAGAATATGATTTACTCTACTCTTTCAAACACGGACTTCAATTATTTAGCGCTTTAAAATAAAGGATTAATAAAATAAATTATAGTATTTTGTGATTATTTTAATGATTACAACCACATTATAATTAATGGCAAATATTACTTATATATTCTTGATACACTTTTCTCCTCCCCGAACGAATGAAATACATAATCGGATACATTGGGTTACAAGAGCATCCATCTCCAACGGTCCTAATGTCCAATGCCTCATAGATCTATTAGTCCTCCATTAGTAATCCGCTGGAGCATACTAAAGCAACTGGATTTAGATCTTAAATGAAATCCATTAAATTGAAATTTACTCAATCAACATCAAACTGATTTATAAGGCTTGGAAATCAATATACAGTAGACTCCCGCTTATCCGTCCGCGTCAGGACGAAGACATCACCAGTTAAGTGGGAGACCGGTTAATACGGAGGAATAAAATAATAAAAACTCCAATATGTATTGTTTTAACCCCAATATTGCGAAAAAATCGCAACAAAATATATCTTACAATGACACAACCCGTTTTCTTTTTTCACTCATTTTGTAACACTAGTTTATTGAAGTAAAGGTTTAACACAACTGAAAAGAAAAACGTATTGCACAACCGGAAACCACGACTAAAACCTTTCCAAGAAAACATTGTCATGTCTAACATCGGAAATGGACGCAATTATGGTACTGAACAGTAGTAAAGCGTCGGTAATTACGCATTGTTTCTTCTTAATTTATTTTTCTATGAAATAAATAAAAAAAAAGGATTTTGTTTTAAGAATCAATTTTACTTCGAATAAATTTGTTTTACTGAGGTTCGAGCAATTATAAAAATCCTTTTTGTCTACATTTCACTCTATTTAAAATCTATTGAAACGCAACACAACGAAAATAAAATTTATAACAAGTGATTGAGAATCACACAAAGTGCTTTTAAGTATGTGTTTTTTTTTTTCCTTTTACCACTATCGTCGGTTAATCCGGAGAGCCGGTTAAGCAAGAGCTGGATTGGTGGGATTCTACTGTATGACTTTAATTATGTTTTTATTTTTTATTCTTAAAAAATTGGAATATTTGAGAAAAAAAAATAAACGATCCCGAACATGATGGGATAGTTAAAATATAGTTAAGGCTATGAACTTGTATATAAAATAGGATACGACTGAAGAAACTATACAAGACTTCTGTATGAAATGTACTTGCCAAAAGATGTAGTGAGTAGTGAAAGATACCAGACCTTTGCACTAAGTTTGAATATTTGACGTAAACTTCATTGACAATTTTCCAGTCTGTTTAAGTTGATATGCTAGAACATTTTCCTTAGAAAATTTCAAATAGGAGTGTTTTCTAGGCATTTTTTAAAAATATAATTACTGTTTTTAGATGAACACTTTTAGTTTTTTAGAGATCGATAGTTTGTATTCATCAAATATTATCATAACCTTACATGTGATATGAGATAAAAAAAGAGAGTATTTAAAATACAATTAAGGTTTTTTTTTTGCTTGTTAATTGTATTTATAAATTACAATATTTTACTTTAATTTAAAAAATGAAACAAAAATACAATTAAGTTATTAATGAGTATCGATTCATTTATGAGGCCTAGAAATCTGGCAGAGTATTGGATGGTTTTTGTTGGATAACAGTGCCTAAATATAAGTGATATTTCACAATTATATAGAATGGTTTCTCAGATCACAGCTCAGATATAATAGATTCCAAATATTAGTCAGGTAATTCCTGTTTCAAAAAATTTATTACATACCTGTTTGGTACTGAAAAATAAATTTAGTTTTATGAAGAGATTATATTTTTGAAAGATATAAAATTTTATATTTAGTGTTGCTGAAGTATTATGTTATATATAACCGTTAATCCTAATGCAAAGTATAAGCTTCCTAACCTGATTATACATTTAAATATACACTTAAATTGATTAATTTGAACTTGAAATAGATAATAGGTTATAGAAAAGGTTAACTACAATATTTTATTTTTAGTATTGACTTACAATAGCCAGTCTTACCTTCATATCTGTAGATGTTGAGAGTATGGATGACACCGGAGATATATCGACAACGTATTCCTCGACTTCTTTATATACACAGTCTATCCTCACCGGCGCTCAAGAAGTCGAGGTAACGAATACTAAATGCATTGATTAGCCTTGAGGTGTCTTCAGAAGTCATAATACTGTTGACCGAAGACGTAATCTTACGAAATATTTCTAAAGCAGCAAGATGACCTACTAATTGGTATCAAACACGAATATTAATAAAATTTCATTACAAAATATAAACATAGAAAAACAAGTAGAATACGAACTTACACTAAACAACGGTTATTGGTTACTTCTTGTTTATTGATATATAGCGATGCAATTAGATTCCATCCATATAAATTTTATCAAATGCCATCTACTATTATTTTGTCACACAAACCTTATGTATTCAGACACGCCTATATTTCAAAATTAGCAAAACAATTAGGAATTGGTAAATAAATAAAGCTGTTTTAATTTTATCGAATTTAATACTATTTTCTTTTTCGTCTGCACAGACGTTCTTCCTCTAAGACACCTGTATCTGAAAGAGAAACGCAATTTCAATTTGTCCCCAATTTGTAGGAAAGTTAAGTGTCTGTGACAAAATACTCACGAACATACCAATTTTATTAAATTTAATTCACTGATTTTTTTTTTGGTTACTGCATTTAAAAAGTATTTGTTGGATTTATCCTAAAGTTAGAGGAATTTCGGAATAATAATGTAAAAAATTTCTATTATCTATTTCATTATCTATTATCTAGTCAAATACCATCTGACAATTAAAATTTAAATTCACTTATTGATAACAATATTATGGTGAAATGTGACAGGTAGTGAGAGTACGTGAAAGGCAGTTTATACTACAGGGATTTATTACATATTGGGTTGGCCAATAAGTCCTTTCAGTTTATCAGGGTGAAATGAAACTCACTGTACTATAGACATAAAATTTATTTTAATCTACAATATATTGACCATTATTTAATATGACTATTTCCCATCTTTCCACTAACTGCATAATGTCATGTTCATAGAATGTCTGGAGTTTATTGTTAAAAAACTGATCCAAGTGGTTTTTGATGTCCTCTTCCTTTTTGGATTTCTTTCCATTCATGGATTTCTGCAGAGACCGGAATAAGTTGTAGTCACTTGGAGCTGAATCTGGTAAATAAGGACGGTGGGGCAAAAGTTCCCACCCAAGTCTCAATAATTTATTGCGAGTGACCAATGAGGTGTGGGGCCTAGCGTTGTCTTGGTGGAACACAACGGCCTTCCGATCATTCATAACTTTTTTTTTTACGAAGGTTCTGTTGATGTCATTTTGTGAAGCTTATGTCGCCCTAAACCCCTTCTAAATTTCTTGTAGATAGATAAAGTCGTTTTGAAGTTTTAACATTTTTTGAGGTTTTCGAAAAAATAAAATCATGTTAGAGACCTAAACATTAAGCCTGGAAACATAGCCGTGGAATTTTGATCAACAATGGCCTTAACATTGCTCGTTTCAATTGTGTGGGCGACCAGACCATCATTGAAACTAATTTTGACAGGTGCATTCGGTTAATGCATCATCCCCATAAACGCTGCCATTTTTTCTATGAGCTTCTGCAGCACGCTTACCTTTTTTATTATAATACAACAAAATATACCGATGTTAAATAACATTTTCTTCCATATTCACAGTGCAATAGCAAACACAAAACTATGCTAGTTTCAACAAGAGTTAACAGATATAGTTGTTTACATATTACAAACAGGATAAACAATCCACCTTAGGGATTAATTCATCAGATAAGAAGTGTATTATAGTGGCATAAAAATAAATAGAAAAACCGAAAGGACTTATTTGCCAATCCAATAAATCTTTTTTATAACTTATATTTTTATTATCACGCCTATGAATCAGACTGCAACAATAGAAAAGAGCAAGTCGTGATATTCAGACTCAGGAATAATCACAACAGTCTAAATGCTTACATTTAAAAATAATTCAAAATTGGAAATAGTCTCCTGTATAAATGTGTTGGGGGGAAAAGACAGCTGGGCGAGTTCTTTAGAGTTAGGTCCTTCTTTATGAGGCTAGGAGGATAATTTGGTCTGAAAGCAATGAGTCGAAATGGTATAAAAGCTAACTGTATGAAACCTCAGAAGATCTACTGATTTTAATACCGGACCAATTAGATGGAAGAAATGAGAAGCAGATATAAGCTACAGTTAAATAATATTTTTTTTAACTAGGCATTTCGTTGATTCGATTTCGGTCAGAGTTTAAGAAGGTTGATTAGTATATGCTGCAATAAAGATTTTTTTTTCAAAATGACTCTACCTTCTTCCTTTAGAAGTACGTTTATCCTTTATTAGAGTATTTTTCAAAGTAGCCTCTTCTGTAATTTTGATTACAGAATGACAAATTATAGCCTGTGAAATACAAATAATTATGCAACCCCTATTAATGGTGTTGATAAATACCTAGTCCTGTCATAAATATTATTACAAAGAAAAACATATAGATCCCAACAAAAAAAAAAGTTTTTAAAAGCTTTATTAGAAAATAAAATTTATATCTATAGAGAGTAAAAAAAAAAAAAATTACTCAAAAAGCCCTCCCATTTGGCTTTAAATTTTGTACTGAGTACAGAATAGCATTTGTCCATCTCTAGACCGAGGGACATAGGTGGAGGTCTCAATGCGGCCCGCGGGATAAAAAGTTTGGAGACCCCTGATCTAAACCACTAGAAAAAAAAAGGAAATAGAAAATGAATAAATTTCTGTTCTTCAAGCAACATCTTATGTCACAGCTCCCAAATAAATAAGAACTACATAAGTGATGTATCTGTAAACAAGTATGTTGAGACAAACAGACCATTGGCAGAAAATGTCCTACTATCTTTATTTTGACAGCTATGAATGATGAATGATGGCTCCGAAAAGCAAGCATAAGTTGGAAAAGACTGTTTGATTCTATACAAAACAGTAGGTATGGAGTAGGTTCCATCAAATAAATCTTTCAAAAATTCTAATATATATATATATATATATATATAAGATAACTTTCAAACCTCAAGTCAGCTAATATTAGTTTAAATGGTTTAAATCTGGCATGAGATTATCTTTAATTTATTTTCTCTTTCCTTAGCATCTCTATTGGGCAAGCAACGGCCATTTATTATTTTTTATTCTTTGGAATTTTAATATATTGATATTAAAATCATATTAATGTAACTGTACATATTAAGGCATACCTATATTAGATATTAAAGAGTAAATATTGTCTTTAATTAGCTTTAGATTAAGAAAAATTGTGGTAATGTAAATTGACCCACTATAACAGATTTATTAGAAATTTCATTCAATGTGAATCCTACCGAAGATACAAACAGTACTCAGGCCACTTGGTATTCTACAGAGTACTCACCAAGAGCCAAGGGGAGAATGAAACGTGTATATAAAGAAGTCGAGGTTCAACAGACACCAGATTCAATCTGAAGTTGGTTCTAACAACAACTAGAGAGATGAGAGTAAGTATTCATGTAAAACACACTCACACACAAAAACATGCACGCACGCACATAATACCAACTATATATAAAATAAATATATCTAAATATTCAGTATCTATTTTGACCAGTTATTAATTATATAATTAATATTGATTATTATTAATTATAATCTTACGCATAATTTCAAGAAAGTCAACTGAGTGAATGATGACTTCATTAATTTGAAATGTGATGATATTGCTACATAGAAACAATTATATTTAAACGATTATATTAGTACTATTTATATGTGTTTATATTTTATCCGGATTTAATAAAAATCGTTACTATTTACAGATTATTTTGTTGACATTATCGGTGGTAGTATGCGCCATAGCAGAAGCCCCTTACCCACAGCCAAGGAAACCTGAAGGAGCTCTTCTGCTTTTGCCTCCCGAATACAATAAGAAGTCAGAATATAATTACCAACCGGTAAGTGTGTAAATAATCGAAAAAAAAAGTATTTATAATTTCGGTAATAATTATAAATACAGCTTAATACTAAATGCCTCTATACCATTGCAGAGCAAAACAGAAGATTTGGCCGAAATAAGCGACAAGGTTATGCAGAGGCTGCGACAAGAACAAGGATCAGGCTCCGGCAGCTACCACGTCTACCTGAACGATGGTCGCCTCCAAAAGGTCCAGTACACCACGGCACCCCTGAAGAGCGGACAACAGAACTCCCCGGCCCAGCAGTACAAGCAGACGGAGAGCGGGTTGAACCCGATCATCGCCCAGTTCGGGAGACTCCAACAAGAACTGCAGGAACAGCAGATCCAACAACTGCAGCAGAGGCAGCAACAGCTGGAACAGCAGCAGCAGGAGCTGAGGCAGCAGCAGCAGGAGCTGAGGTCTGCCAGCTACCTGGCCAGCATCCGCTACTCCAACGTCGACCCCATCACCTCCCCGATCTACTCATACAAGCCCAGCCCAGTCACTAGGATCCTCAGATACGCTCCAGAATATTTCTGAACTCATCATATGTTTAAAAAAATATAGTTATATAACTTGAATTTATATTTTTTTTTTCCTCATACATCACTTAATCTTACCTATTCAAAAAACAAAACATGTATACCTAATAGCTTCAATGAATACATGATGCTTGAGTTTTATCTTCTGATACACAAGAAAGGCAGTTTTAGAATTAGATTATTTGTATGCTTATAGTATACATATCATGGTCGATAAATATTTAGGACGCAGTCTTATAAAAAAAAATTTTAATTTTTTATTTGTTCCAACGTTTCAACCCAAATATGTGGGTCATCTTCAGTGCGTGATTCAGACACTGAATGCTTTAAGTACTGTACTTGAAAGCTGGAAAGCTACTACTACTACAGTGCTTGAAAGCACAGGCGGATCTACGGTGGGGGGGGGGGCACCGTAGGTCCAGACCCCTGCGATCCTTCCTAAAACCTCCTTGATATAAATTCCCTTACTCGTGAAAGCACCCGGCCTGATATTGAAACCCTGGATTGGAATGATGTTTACACCAGCTCCTCAATTGATAACATGGTAGATATCCTGACTTCTAATCTCCTCCATATCATAAATACCCATGCCCCACTTAAAACCTCTACATTCCGCCGCCAACCTGCTCCTTGGATGCATAAAAAAATTCGAAATATGCAAAAGAGACATGAAGCAGCCCATAGGCGTTTTAGAAGAACCAGGCTTGCAGATGGCTATGAAGCGTTCACGGTACTCCGTAAGTCGACGCAAACAACGATCATGCAAGCAAAACCAATTACTTTCATGAAGCCTTCTCCTCTGCTAACGATTCTAAATCCAAATGGCATTTACTTCAAATGCTGTCTCTTTGCAGATCATCTTCCTCCTTAGTCGTTCCAGTCTCTCCTGATGCTTTAAATTCTTACTTTTATCCTCCTTTTCTAGAAATATTTCTCCCGCCTCTTCCCATTTTTCTGTATCATCTGCATTCAACAGTGACAATTTTTATTTTTCCTACATCACTCTTACGTACCTTATTTCCTCCATGATGAAATCCCAATCCAGGAATTGACGAAATACCCGTCAAACTGTTAAAATTATGCCTCTCTGAAATCCTTCCAGTTCTTCTATTCATTTATAACTTTTCCTTTCAAAATTCTGATTTTCCTACTCTTGGAAAAAAGCCTTAGCCCGTCTTATTAACAAAATCCCTAACACCACTTCTCCTAAAGACTATCGTCCAATTTCCATCCTCTCTAATCCGTCATAACCCCTCAAAATAATAGTCCAATCCCAAATTTCCAATTTCCTCGAAGAGTTCAAACTTCTAGATCCTGGCCCAATCCCGGGTTTCTCACTCAATCCGCTTTAGTCAAAATCACAAATGAAATACATATTACAATTGACGAAAGAAAACTATTAGAGGAGTATTAGTACTCCTAGACTTCTCCAAAGCATTCGATTCCTTAGATCATTCTATCCTCTTCGCTAAATTAAAATCTCTATCCTTCTCCAATAGTTCTTTCCTATGGTTCCAATCCTTCCTTTCTGACAGGACTCAAGCAGTTAGTATTACAAATCAACCCTTATCTTCCTTCCTCACTCTATCTCTTCTATCTAGCCCAGGGTTCAAGTATTTCTCCTCTCCTTTTTTATTCATACATCAATGACCTTCCTAATTCAATTTACCATTGCTCATACCATCTATATGCTTATGACTCCCAAATATATCTATCATTTCCGCCTACTGAGTTATTAGAAGCGTTTACTTATATTCAGAAAGACCTAGATAGGATCAGTGCCTGGGCAATCTTGAATAAATTAAAGTTAAACGCAACGAAAACGCAGGCCATTCTTATAGGTTCCAAATCCCTCCTTAGATCCATTTCCACCCTTGCTTTCTTCCTTGATTATTAATGACCAACCAATCTCCTTTACCTCCTCTGCAAAAAACATAAGAATTACCATTGATCAAAACCTATCCTGGAAATCTCATATTGCTCATATCTTAAGAAGGTCAATTGGTACACTTAAACTAGTCCATCGTTCTCGTCAGCATCTCCCACAACCTCAAGCTCCTCGTTTCCTTATTGATTTTGCCCCACTTTGACTATGGCTATGTGGTATATCATAGCCTCTCGTTGGTGCTTGAGGACAGACTGAAGAGAATCATTAACTATTTTTTATGATTCGTCTTCGGCACTTCGAGATGGTCTCATGTGTCCCACCTATATGCCGAGTCAAAGAGGCTCTTTCTCTCTTCCCGCCGCCTATACTTCCTTGGAAATTTCTTATACCAAACGATCAACTACCAGCAACCTTCCTATATTAACTGTCTCCTTCGGCCCAAACCTTCCGTCCATTCAATGAAAACGAGATTCTGTGTTTCTAACCACTATATTCCATCCCAAAGGACAAAAACCTATGATCGTTCCTTCTTAGCTCGCTCCGCTACTTTCTGAAATTCCTTGCCACATAACATCCGTCATGTCTCTTCCCGGTCATCTTTCAAATAACTCCTTTTCCAATATCACCTTACATCCCAATCAGACGATTCGCAACCATAAATTGAATTTGTGAGAAGAAAATGGTGGTGCCTACCGTTTAAGATTTTGCATCAACATCTTTATATTATTCATAAAGATCATTGATATTTATCACCTAGTTTGATTATTATTTTTACTATTTATTTGTTTTTCTCTTCGCTTCATGTCATGCTTTTTTCTTTCTTTCGGAGTATATGTTTATATGTATGTATTATATTTTCTCTATTTTTCCATTTCAACTATAATCACGCTTGAGAAGATTTTTTGTTTAACTGTTAACATATTATTTTATAGTGTTAGTTAATAAATTTAGTCTGCTTTTTATATTTTAACATCCAAATCAATGCCTTTTTGTTTTTAATTTTACTATTATATCTTATTATATTATTGTATTATTTATTTATCCAGGTTATAGATCTTGTCTATCTTTGTACTAATATGTGTATGCATGTATATATATTTCTTTTTTCGCCATTACACTACAAATATTCCTGAGAAGATTTTATTTTTATTTCTTTTAGTGTTTTCATATTATTATGTAAATCACTGTAGATATTTTTGCATTTTGCATTGAGTTATTTTTTTATTAGTTAGCTTGTTTGTAAATTGTGTAGTTATGTATATATAAATATGTAGTTTCTTTTTTCCCCCTTCACAATAATAAGTAAATTAATTTATAGAACTTTTATAAGTTAGTTTTAAGCCAGATTTTTATTTTATTTTGTAATAATTCATCATTGTTATTCTAAGGGGACTTAGTCTACCTTCTGACTAGTATTTCCGGAGATTCATTTTCGACCTGGATAAGCATTTTTATTTTTTTGTCCTTTATTCATTTACCAAATTCTTTTAAAAGTTATATTTAGCATTTTTTTTGTAACTCTCATTAATGAGTGATAGTTAATTATTTTAAATAAACCATATTAAAGGTACTTCAGAGGAAGACACATATGAACGTTGGGCATTTAAGCACTGTAAAGTGACATCAACGGAGATAAGACCTAAATGATATTAAAGTCTACTTAGTTACACGGGCGGATCTAAGGGGGGGGGGCTTTCGAACTGAAGCACCCCTCCCCCAAAATGGTAAAATATAACCATGTTTTATCGAAAAAAATGTTTAAAAAATGATCTCTTAAAGTATAATTATTCGTGTAATTACATTTCAAAGGTCTTTAGAAATCACTTAAACACCAGTTCATATAGATACTTAGTTTCTTTCTTATTTTCCAAAGTAATTATCGTTACTTTTATAAAAAAAAGGTTTCGGGCTGAAGCCACCCCAAAATTAAATCCTGGATCCACTAGTGCTTGAAAACATTCAGTGCTCGAATCAAGCCCGTATGATGACCCACATGTTTGGGTTGAAACGTTGGCACAAATAAAAAATTAAAAACATTTTTTAAAAGACTGCGTCCTGAATATTTATCACCCATGATATGTAGAACAGTCGACTAGCTTCCTTCTATAGTATACATATTTACAAAATCAGTTCCTTGGAACAAATCGTTGAACGAACAGCCGAAAACTTAGACATTTGAAAAAAAAATTTCTAAAAGAATCAGGTTAAGATATCTGAAAATCCTATATTCAAAAGGTTCAACCTTTTCGAATTATTATCATTTATGGTTTTTATTGCTCGAAACCTATAAATTTCTTTCAATACTTCAAATGCTTTGTAGAAAATCTTATCATCAACACATTTAAACAATAAACGAAATAAAAAATATGAAAGAATTCAGAGTCTGACTTTATACTAAAAGGGTAATGTGTGTATTTGGCATATAACAATTTGGAAAAAAACCAGTGTGTTTTAATTTACAACGTTTTTAAGTTCTAATGATTTCCCGCAGATATGTAACAGTTAAATATTTTTTTATTTTAGTCCAGTCAATGAGTGTTCAAAAAGGGAGTATAGAAAGAAATGGAATGGACACAATCTTTGACTTTGAGACTTTGTTGGGACTAGATAAGAGGCAAAACACACGAAAAGTCCCCAGTCCTAGGAAGTAAGCTGGATCATTTTTTTTTTCGGTTGGGCGCTTATATCAGAGAAACTACCCATTGTAGTGACAAAGACGTTCTATACAAAGTTAAAGCTGATAAAATTTCCTCACGTTTTTATCTTTTTTTAAGTGAAAACGTTTTTAGCCGCGATTTTCACTTTTTTGTGAATTAGATTGATTAATCAGATTTCACGCGCTGTTAACGCTCGGGTAAAGTCGGCTAGAGTTGACTAATTAAAATGGTTTTACATTTGGATTAAAATATCTCAAAAAATAAAAATCGGGCCTGCATACTGTAAGAAGGAAAATTGCTCTGCATTTCGTTCTCTCTGTAATATGCTATAATTGAAAATTGTATTTTAACGCGGCGCCGTTTTAGAGAGGCGAAAAAGAAAAAATGTGTCGAAAACCAAATAATAATGAGTTTTGTTGAACATATGGATTAATATATTTCAGATACTAAAAATGATTAAAAAAGTAAATAAAATAGAAAACAGGTAAATATTGTGTGATCTGTTTCGATGTAGAAAATGTATTCACCAATACATAAACTTGAAATATGTAAAGAAATAATTAAAAAATACTGGACTTCGTAAATACACTTTGAATGAATTGACTCACCTGCTTTGTTATTCTTCAATCGTGAGGCATGTAGGACAACTAAATAAATAAATGACTTTTCACTCCTGTCTAACAAAACAATTTATTTTACTACTGTAATAAGTGACTCTATTAAAGTCTTATAACTGTAGGCTTGATATTTTTGGTTTTATTCCTGCCTCTCTCATCTCAGGTAACGTCCTGTCCTCTTGCCTCCGTGTCCCTGCCTCAAGTGCCTTCTCCTCTCTTCTCCGACGTCCTCCTCCAGCTGTTGCTACCTGTTCCGTTATTTTTCCAGCGTCCTTCTTCATCGATTGTTTATCGATATGAGTCTTTTCAATGAATAGTTTTTCCACTGCACAATTGAGTACAATTCACAGTGCAACATCACATTCCTATATATTATATATTGTTTCTCATTCCCTCACACAATGTCACATAAAGGAATAAATACAGGGGGCTATCTACTACAGGATGCTGGCTTAGTATCTATGTATCAAATATATTTCCACGAGTATAAGAAATTTCTACATAAGCATCTTTGAATCACAATAAATCTTATAAAAAATATTCAAGGTGACAGTTTCAAGAATCACTTTCAGTCATCTAACGTTGAAGTTATGTCATCAAATAACGAATAACCTACTAAACTTCAAAGGAAAACATTTTCACACCTTTAATTAAATAATTTTACACCTAAGAATTTGAAGGAAACAACATTATATTTTTGACTATTTACTTTATTCAATAATTATATTTTGAATACAAATGATCAATATTGAGGAGCGTATCTGAGGATCCTAGTGACTGGACTGGGTTTGTATGAGTAGATCGGGGAGGTGATGGGGTCGACGTTGGAGTAGCGGATGCTGGCCAGGTAGCTGGCAGACCTCAGCTCCTGCTGCTGCTGCCTCAGCTCCTGTTGTTGCTGTTCCAGCTGTTGCTGCCTCTGCTGCAGCTGTTGGATCTGCTGTTCCTGCAGTTCTTGTTGGAGTCTCCCGAACTGGGCGATGATCGGGTTCAGCCCGTTCTCCGACTGCTTGTACTGCTGGGCTGGGGAGTTCTGTTGTCCGCTCTTCAGGGGTGCCGTGGTGTACTGGACCTTCTGGAGGCGACCGTCGTTCAGGTAGACGTGGTAGCTGCCGGAGCCTGATCCTTGTTCTTGTCTCAGCCTCTGCATCACCTTGTCGCTTATCTTCCCCAAGTCCTCTGCTTCGCTCTGAACCTAACAAAATATTTATAATTAATTTTCTGATAAACTACCGTGACAATTCTAAACACTTTTTTTTTCAATTATTTACACACTTACCGGTTGGTAATTATATTCTGACTTCTTGTTGTACTCGGGAGGCAATAGCAAAAGAGCTCCTTCAGGTTTCCTTGGCTGTGGGTAAGGAGTTTCTGCTAGGGCACATCCTACCACTGATAGAGTAAACAAAAGGACCTGGAAAGAATATGTTTTTAATGATAGCATTTCTTTCTTTTTCAAAACTATTTTTAACTATAAAAATATATGTTAGTATTTTTTTTATTAATCTAGAGTCATATTCAAAAAAGAAGATGAAAAAAAGTCTGAGCAGTGTAGGTCCTATCTTTGATTAACAAACAGATAAAAAAGGGTTGGTTAGATTTTTAATGCGTTGTAAATTATTAGACAATGGCTAGTTATTTTATATATATATATATATATATATATATATATATATATATATATATATATATATATATATATATATACAAATAGTTTCAGAAAGATGGGTATAAAAATATTTATTTAAGCATTTTTTCTATTATTAAATTATCGACGATTATAATAATTATCGAACGAGCACAAAGAAACATACAGTGGATTTATAGTTTCCATGTTTCAATCATAATATAAAGGATGTTTGCTAAAGAATGACATGGTCAGAAATCAATGTTTTCTAAATTATTCACAAATATAATTTCATATTCATGAAACTTTTTCCCTACGCTTCTTTAGGGAAATACGAGTGTGTTGTGTAGAGGGGAATATATTTTGGAAGTTTCCACAGTCATTAGAGGACGCCATATTTCTGATGATGAAACCCTCCAATAAATTTTCTTAAACACTAACTTAATAAGCATACAAAAATTTTAACCTCCTAAATTTGTTAGCAGGTACGGTTGAGATGAGGAATACTAAAACAGGGAGAAGCAAAAACGTTCGTATGTGCTGGAAATTGGACGAAACATATCTAAATATTTAAACATCCAATTATAGTACCAAATATTTATGGTACTGTTGTGCCTGTTCTATATTGAATTTCAAGTAATTTGATCCAAAGAGAGAGAGGCTAGAGTGCCGTGGATGTGCCGAAACTTACCGGGAATATATATTAACTGACATCATTAAAAATACTTGTTCTAGAGGTTCCAAAACGGATAGAAATTATAACTCCGTCCTAAACTGACGACCTTAGATACAGATCAAATCTCTATTAATTTCAATCAAAATAGTCAAAACAAAAATAGCAATATAATTTATAAACAGCACTAGCTCCTTTTCTATCCCTCGTAGAACTGTCAGAGAATTAAAAAAAAAATTGTCTTATACTTCTTGACTTTTAAGCTTCTACCATGCCATCTAATAGCTGTCATAGACAATGCATTTTTAAATTGAAAATGTAACATTTGGAAATTTAAAACAAATATGAAGCATATGAGATAAATTAATTCTCAATAAAGACATTGATTAGAAATATATCGAATGTAACAAAATTCAAACATGAAAGAATACTAAATGATACACGTGTGTATCATCTTATCTTCCAACATGCATGTGTTGAGCTCAATAAAAATGTTGAAGCATTTTCAATTTAATTCAAGCTGATGTAGAGTCGTAATTTACGGGGGCGGGGAAGCCGCACGGGCTAACGTGTGTGAACAACACAGCCGTTGTCCGGCAACCTGATATATGAGGGGCGGAGTTAAATACGCCTTCGATTCTATACAATCGTCTCACATGTTAACGTGTCCACATGAGGTATATAGTAAATTTAATGCTCTTTCAAATTGATTCTGATGTATTTCTTTGAGAGATTTTTTGGAAAAAAATCGACGGGAAAAACAGATATCTCTTGTAAAATAAGCATAAATTTTATCTTCTTTAACATTGTATATGATAATAATTTCGATAAAATACATAGTTTCATAGTCATGTAAAAATATTTTTAAAAAATTCGAAAAACAAATTCAGATTCAGCGTTCCAACAAAAAATCGAAGAGAAACAGACGATTTGAATTTTTTCTTCATCCAACTAGCATTTTACTGGCCCAATTTGATGACTTTGACGTCGTCCGTTTTCAAAACGCAACCGAGTTCATCATCAGTCAAGGTGAATTCTCTTTTAGTGATATATTATTTACATCACATCAGAATTTCAGTCGTCAGTTCTTCCGTTAAATGAACCGTCAAATTTCGCCTCTTTAATTTAAATTTTCAACTAGAAAACAATAATTGAACAATCGAATTTAAAATGGTTAATAGCTGTAATTCCAGTTAAATAAAATGGTCTGTAGCATCAAGTAAATTGGGTATCATTGCCCAAGGAGAACTAAATGGCTAAAGCTCTCACTGCTTCTAAGTATTATTTCACTAAGTGTATAGTAGCTATAAAAGTAACACGTTATATGAAAATATATATATATACTACAAAAATATAAAATAAATAATAATAATACTAAATAATTGATGAGACCCTTCAAGTCAATAATTAAAATAAAGGGACTCTCTGCTTTAACTGTAATGTTGACCGGTCAATAGTACACTAAGGTACATTGTGTATTGTGTGATAACAGTGATACAGGGAGAACATGTATTTATGTATACAATGGTGATTGTCCTACATTATCTGAATTGGCCAGACTGTATTGTCTCAAGAGAATACATTAATTAGACGAATGATGTAATTATAGGTATCCTTTCTTTTCTTTTTTTTTTTATAATTATATCTGATCGTTGTAAAAAGTAAAAATAAAAAAAAATACAACATATATACATTAATTAATTAAATACCAAAAAAAATGTTTTAATCGTAATTTTCATGTAATATTATTATCAAAATGTTTCGTGACGAAGTTGAAAAATATATTAAATAATTATAAGTATAAATATATTTTATAGTGAATGTTTTTTATAGGCATTTATACATAACTAGTCACACAAAAAATACATGCATGTATTTGTTTTAAATCTGCAGTATTATATTTGTTGGTTTCGTAATAATCATATTTAATTTTTAAACTTAAAAACTTAACAATAAAATTGTCTTTTATAGTATTTTTTATTTATTTATTTATTGAATAATAAAACATTTGGTCACTTGGACATTGGTTATAGGGAGGTAAGATCAAATTCACACACTATATATATTTATATATATATATATATAAATGAAAAAAAATAAGGTGTGTCATTCAATTGATCAAAGAAAGGATTTGTGTTCGATTTCTTAGATTAACTAAAGCAATGTAAACCAGCTTGTGGAAGATCAGCGGAAAAAAATTAATACACTCTAATATTGTTATCAAAAACTTTTTGCCATAGCCCAATTTTGTCAGACAATAATTTCTGTTAAAAGCAGAGGGAAAAGTGAAACTTGTGTGATGGGGGCACCAGATTTTTTTTACTTTCACTCAATTGTCTTTTTCCTCTCTTTTAGCCATTCTGGCACCGGGATTTGAGCTCATAATTTTACATACGAAATTTAAACCAATAGCGTAACTTCGTTAATAGTTGTCCAACATGAACGATTGTAATACAGTTTTGTATGGATTTTCACTACCTTTAAAAAAATCAGGTGGTCTGTAATGATCTTGGAACAGACAGACAGACCAATGAATGAAATGTGTTTTTCGGACTTTGAGGGCTCTGAAACGTATAGGTCCGTCGAAAACCGCATATCGGAAATTGGCCTGATCGAAATACTTACCTTACACAGTATAGGTAGGAAAGTAAAAAAATAAATAGAAGCAAAATACCAGCTAAATAATCAAAAAGTATAAACAACAAATAAGTAGATTAAATAAAGCAAAACCAGATGCATACCTATACGTTATTTACAATCAGGCGAGGGAACTCCGATGAAAGCATAACAATGGTGGGAAAAGCATGATTCCAGGAGATCCCTGCGCTACTCTATCGACCGCGTCACTGATACTAAAGCCAGCGGTGATTGATCGAGGGCAAGTTTTTATAATATTTTTATTTCTGTTGAGCATCCTTAATTTTAATACTAATTTTTAAGTTAGTTTTGTTGAATTCATCCGTCAAAAATAATCTTATCTATTTCTAAACAAATTTTACTCTGTCTGGACGAAAACTTACCTTCATGCTTCTTGTATCTGTTAGACCAATGTACCCTACCCAGTCCATCCAGAGCTTTATATACTTCGGCCATCCCGCCCTTGAAAGATCGCAATCTGAATATTAAGGGATTGTTGCAACCAGACGTGCGAACCTTGGCTGTTGCAGAGATTAATACGTGGCCCCGAAGAAAGCAATGGTATGACACAGAAGTAGATTTGAATAGACATTTTTTTTTTTTTTTTTTTTAAAATCAGATAAAATATTCTAAATAATCCAATTATACTGTATTCTTCAGTTTTGGAAATATATTGCAGTAAATGTTGGAGACAAAATAGGCTTTTCATAACAAAATTAACTCAACAAAAATATCTATCATACAGCTTTCACTTACAGCCCTTTGAATAATAAATAATTTTTGTTTATGCTTGTTAGTTTTTAATTATCCTTTTTCGGGTTTAATTTTAGTAAACTGGAATAAACATTTTACCAAATGTTTTTCCCCATCTGTAAATTCTACCTCCTAAACAATTTCCAGCAACATCCATTTCTTCACATCTATTTTCAAAAACATACAATAAAACATTTATAAAAAATATTGCAAAAATGTAGTTATCCGTAAATCCTATATTTTTTGGTATGTCAAGCATATAATTAATTAAAAATATTTTATTAAGTAACCGACTAAGCGAAGCGAAACGAGGGTTATGTTTTTGGGTCGTCCGCTAAAACCTATATAACGCTTCTTTGAATGAATCGATGGATCATTCTTTTTTGTTCGGTGAAGTCTCTTGAGTGTTTTAATAAAATTTGGGCTAAAAATACTGACGCATTATTAAATAAGATGTTTTTAAGAAAATTGAGAAAAACTTTGAAACGTTGTTTTCAGCGAGCGTCTAGATCGATTTTCTATTTTTCTGGCTCAAATTATCCGGTGAGATCTCCGGAGTGCTTTGAAACAATTTGATTTTAAAATACTGACCAGTTAATAAATGAGATGTGCTTAATCAATTTGCGAAAAGTTTTTTAACAGTGTTTTGAGCGAACGGCTGGATCGTTTTTGGAGTTTGATATAATTCGGCGAATTCCCGCTAGTATTTAGAAAGCGAAACGACGCTAGGGTAATGTAAATGTATCTAATAAATTTGGAAAAAGCTTATTAACGCTGTTTTGAGCCAGTGACTGAATAGATTTTTGTTTGATGGTTTAAATTATGTGGTGAGATTCCCTGGGTGTTTTTTTCGGGCGTGGAAGTCACCCAGTTACTTCACCAAGTTTCAGTATTCATAGACTAACTAAAACCTTATATTTTTATGTTGATATACATAATTTTTCATTCTTAACGGCGAATAGAGTTATTTGCTTAGTCGGTTTTTTAAAAAATTAAAATACTTATTATTTTATTTAGCTTCCATGGATATTCCATTTAGCTTATATTAAATATAAAAATATAAATTATGAACTACAATAATTACCAGTTTCCGACTCTCTCCTTATTAGCTTTTACCACTTTATATATTGTATCTCAATTTTTCCTAGATTGCTTTTCATATCATATTATATAGAATTTCTTATGTGATTATCGTTAAAAGTAAATTTTAAAAAATCTGCAGTATTTTATTTATAAATCGGATACATATTTCTTTATTGTCCGTTCCACTGCATTTTAGAATTCAATCCCGCTTAAAATCCGCCAAGCACCATCCTTATCCACTTCAAATACCTCATATTCCAATTCCTTAGCCCAATTCAATCAAACGATAACTAATTTTTTGTTATATAAGAAAGTTTCTATTTCCCTTATACATTTTTTTTATTTCTTCCTGTTATGAATATGGAAAAGATTTCCCATAACTTCTCATGACGTATTGGGAGTAGGTTTAGTTGTTTTTATGTTTAATTCCTAATATTCTATCTCTTTAAGATGTAGAGATGCAAGTCATTTTTTACTAATCTTAGACATGCTCTCTCTATATATTTAAGCGTATTTGTATATGTATATATGTACATGTGTATGTGTATATATCTGTTGTTTTTTTTTACTCTCAACCTATGTCTTCATATGTAAAATACAGGAATTTTCTATCATTTTACAATACCATTATAAATCCCCATTTAAACAATTTAAGGAACAGATGTAAATTATTTTTTACTTCAGTTATTTGTTTTGTTTTTTTTAAATCACAATGGTTATTCTGACTAATATCATTTAGTTATTTTTATTATATTATTTTTAACAGATATATTGCATTATTGTAACACTAACTCTCACCTGCTTTCGTTGACAGATCTCGAGAACTATGGACAGACTTGTCTTATTATTTATTCTTTAGTTACTCTTTATTAAAATTGGTCTGTTGACCAGATTTATTGATTATTTGTATGAACACCATTGTTATTCTTAAGGAAATTTTTCCCAGAATAAAGATGATTTTTCTATTTATATTTATATACATATATGATCGGTCAGGTTTGAAAACAGTACCTTGTTTCTTTGTAGCTTGCAGCAGATATTTGTTTTCCGGACCAAGTTTAAATATACAGAAAACAAAGTTTGGAAACCAGATTATCATTGTACCTCATAGACTAGCATATTAACGATTTATTTACAATGAAAATTTTAATGGTCACTACATGTTTGATATAATATGTTATTTAAGAACATTAAGTGAAGCATTATTGAATTTATGGCTCCAAAGAATCTAATAACAACCTACTTTTGATTACAAAAAAAAAAGTTTTTGGTTCGAAATTGTTCTATATCTCTTATCGATTGCAGGTTCAAAGTTCTTGGTTGAATATTCATTTCATGGAATCCATCAGGGCATGACTCTGGTTTCAGATTTTGCTAATCATCTAAATTAAATACAGATAACAACAATAGCCACTTATGACATCAAATAGCTTTCCTCACTAATCGTTGTCTGTATTATGTATTATATCAGTGGTTCGACCCCATTTTAAAATATTTTATTGCATCCCTCACTCGTACGAATAAAAAATATATATACTTTTTTATCTATTTATAACAGATATAAGTACGCAGGTATTGCAAGAATTATCTCCTACTAAAATAAAAACTGACAAACTGGTTCTTTCCAAAATTTCCTTGTCCTGGAAAAATGTCCTATCTCAAAAAGTACTTATGGTAGAACGTGCCTCTTCTCAGGAGCACCTTTGTATTGTATAAGTTTCCTCTGAGTTGTTTGAATCGATTTTACATGAAATTACATAATGCAGTCATCACGTTTAATTATAGTAACTGAAGTGTCTTTTGAGGAAGTCACGTTAAAATTTAGAAAGACAATAAACCGTCACCTGATACAGTCTTTCTGATCAACAAACAGTACAGCAATGATCTTTTTCGATTTAACTTTACAATAATATTAGATTAAGCGATAAGAAATTTATCGTTTTTGTATACATTATTGTATTTTAATAAATAAAATTTTAAGTTTCCATTCTTCATCATAAAAAGCTAAATTAGACCGTGACACAGACTTTTTTTTTTATCGAATTATTAACATCCGCCTGAAACTTTTTAAATAGTTTCATCTCATCGTGACTTACAATTATTTTATTTACGAAAACTCTTGGAATTGGGACGTTTTTAATCTGGAGGATGTCAAACTTTGTCTATTAAGTACTAAAACTTGTAAATACCCATTTGCTTTCTACTTGGATCGTAAATTAATTTGATCAATATTTTTGTAGGCCAATTTTTTATCCATTTTGTGATAAAATTATCTTACGATCCAAGTAGAAAGCAAATAGATATTTACGAGTTTTGAGTACCTAATTGAATAGTTCAAATATGCCCCCCATCAAATTGAAAACGCCCCAGTTCCAAGAGTTTTCGTAAATAAAATAATTGTAGTTTACAATGAGATAAAACAATTTAAAAAGTTTCAGGCGGATGTTAACAATACGATCAAAAGGGGTCTGTACGGATGAATAAATTATAGTGATCCGTAATGTTCTGTATGAATTGTCAAATTTTATGTATACTAGCGGGGTACCTTACTGTCCTCTTAACGGCGGACTAACCCCCATTTCACAAACTATACATCTGTTTATTTACATAGTTCGCGTTGCTCTAATTGTGAAACTGCAATTTACATGTATTCTGTAGTCCAAATTTTATTATTTTTATCAACGTGCTTCATACAAGCCCAACATCAATTTGAGGATTTTGTTTTAATATTTTGATTGTACGTTATGTTATGCTTCCTATTCTATTTCATAATAATCATAATTATATCACAATATAATATAAATAATATTATATATAGTATAACAACAGTTGATTGCTAACCAATTGTTATGTGGATGTGGAGCGCGTACTTGGTACTTGGTACAACCCAATGTACTATTATCTAAGCTCCTTAGTTGTTTGCAAATAATATATTAAATTAGAAGTGCCTATACAATGGAAGAGGTATTTCTTGCAGTTCAGACTCTCTGGGAATTGCGGGTTACGCTTTTATCTTAAAGGTGTCTCGTATGGAATAAACACCGGGCTATATTGCCCCATAACTTGAGAAGATCCGAAACGCTTGATGATATCCTTGTCGAATGTACAATGTACAAACCTACTCGGATTGGTTTTTTTCAGGACATTAAAGAGGCCAATGGTCAGAGTATACTGGTGCTCTTACTTTCACCATCAAATAAGGATATAATATTCAAACTATTTTGGTTTGTTGGAAAGGCCTCTCAAAATTAATTCCTTTATTTTGTATAAATAAGGGAGGGAGCTTTAGCATATTATCGTTTGAGTGTGAATTTGGATAGAGTAATTCCCTGTTAGCTTCTGGGCTAGAGCCCATCTTTAAATCTGATTATATTATCTAATTTTCCAGTAATGTAAATATGTAATTGTAAACACATTATAATCTATTATTAGTGTATGGTATTGTTTTTCTATATATTATCATAAACGTTATTAATGTTTTATTTTAGATTTTGTCTGTATCTTCTCTATTATATATATATATATATATATATATATATATATATATATATATATATATATAATTTTTTTTATGAATAATATTACTAATGAGTTGGTACTGTATTATATCAAAAATATCCAGACAGACTTCCTGTAATTGTTCTACACAAAATACAGAATTTAATCTATCTACCTATTTATCTATTATATATAATGTAATAATTAATTTACTGTATTCATGGGGGAAATGTCTAATGTCTAAAATCAAGCTACCACCTCCGGATGAATACCACTTTTCGTACAGGATAAAGATTAATATATAGTATACTTTATATATAGTATATAGGCCGAAAAAGACCAGCCACATATGCCGATCCCTTTCTTGACGGCAAAGAAGCTAATCAAAACAGTAATCATTGAAGAACTGGAACAGGAATATCAGTTATAGTTAAAGGAGAAGCAATTTCATTACAAGAAGAAAATGGAAGAGTGTCAGTTGATCTTCCTAGAAGTGAGGCCGTTGCACAGTCCAGGATGAAAATCGGACATGACTATCTCCAAAGCCATCTATACCATATTAAAGTTGTCGAATCAGCAACGTGCCCACTGTGTCGACAAGGATCCACTGACCATATACTGACTTTTCACGGACTACAGGACATTAGAAACAAAGCCAGAACAGAAGTTGAAATTTACTGGGCTGCTTGACGTCGCATGGCCGAAAGAACTCAAGACGATCAAGGCATAAGATAAAAAAATTTAAAAAATAAAGAAAGATCCATTTACTTGTATAATAGCGTGTAGCGTCAAAACCTCCCTTGTTATCTAATCTTATTTCACATAACCTCCCTTATCTCCTCTAACCTAAGTTATTCCCTTGTTTATTTTTTGTTCCTTGTTTAAGCTGTAGTGTTATTTAATTATGGATGTTGCCACATTGTTGGATTTCCGTCTACAGAAGAAGAGGCTATCAAATATTTTCAAGACGCCGTTATAATTGCAAAGGTTAAATATTGTGTTGAAGG